ATAGTTGCACATTTGAAATTGACGTTCAGTCAAAGCAACTAGAAGATGTAGACATTATAATTTTGTCCGATAAAGGCATATATCGATATAAGGGACTATATACCTTCCCGGACGAGTCCAAGTTTGAATGTTGTGCCGATTACAGGTACGTCAAGTTACCAGTCTTTAGGACTGATGTGTAATGGCTTATCATTCCACGACAAGCGTGCAGACTGTCTTGCTGACACTGCGGTTGCAATGGTTGGTCCAGTAGTGGACAGAAGTGATGTTATCACTGTCATGCGCTGCTCTTACCATGCCGAGGAGCAGGCCAAAGGACATGACTCCGTATCCCTGTCTAGACTGGTCGACATTGGGGGTGGGGGGGGGGGCAGCCAGGAGCTGCAAGAAAGGAAATTTCACTAAGGGGACAAGTTTCATCAACTAACACAGAACAGGCATCATCAATCGTTTTACACTTGTGTAGCTTTTGAAGAGGAGATATGATCACTTATGGATTTGTCCGGAGTGCTGTGATGATAATCCTTTCTAATTTGAAGACATAAATAATGTATACTTTACAAATAATACATTAACAACAACCAACGTGCTCGACCAGAATGTAAAGCGATCATCAGCTAACAAGGAAATATGATAATGACACCATACGCTCAGCGAGATTACCTCAACAATGGTATAAACCTAAACCTATTTAACATTAACGTTAAGCCTAAATATGCCACCAGACCAACAAATCACTTAGAGCTACCTGCCATCATAGCGAGAATATACCCCGACATATTACACAGTATAACTACTAGAGACTACTATTTCAAGACTAAATATGGAAACATACCACCGCCGCGAAACCAACTTGACAACCGGTCTTTCCCTGCGGTCGCCCATACCCATGCTGGCTAGCCCAATGTGCAAAGCTGCAACAGCTGGATAGGTCTCCACAGGGTCCATCAGGAAGTCAAATGGACAAATACTGAATGAGTTGGCTTTTTTATACCCAGTGGCCAGACTTTTCCCCATTTTTAAACCATAATCATCAAGGTGTCGGCCAACGAAACCAAAATCGACAACCTGCTGAACAGCAGTCTTTGTCATTCTCCAGCCTATCACATTAGCCGCTTGTTGGGTTTAGTCGCTATTTGATTGCATTATGTCACTGCCGCTTCTGGCCAGTCTGGCCGCCTGATGTCTGACTGTGGAGATGATGGCAGATGAATATAAAGTTTCTTTTTCTTCTTCTTGTGATCACTTTCTGATTTACACCGACAGACATGTTTGTGTGATAAGCGCATCTGTTTTTAGTAGTTTTCTTTTAGTTCCATAGACCTTTGAGTACAGTGTTGACTCAGTGGGCCAGTATACCCTTCGTAATGGGCTGTACAAAGGATATTCTTTTAGACATGTTTTGTAGTGTGCACACGGACGCAGTGATGAATTATTTAGACGAAGTCTGTACATAGGCTTGTAAAGTTTATGTCGAGTCTTGAGGCGCAGAATAATTGGTGCTTTCTTTTTAGCCTACTACAAATGACGTCAAACGACAGTCCAATATTTTATTGGGTGGTAATAGCGCTGGTTTTCGGTATTTTCTGCTCTTTAGCGCGTTCCTCTTAAGGCCAAGGCTTTCGCGCGTTAAATTAAGCCTAACTCTAACCCTAATCCTAACCTAGCCGAAAGTATATGCTTAGTCTACCACCCACTGCCCCGTAACCTGTGGATTTCCCCTGTTTGTGGTCAGCTAATAAAAAAGTACCGAATAATTACCTGCTCATGCCGGTTAATTAGGTGGTAGCATATGATGTTGACCTTGATCATCCTAAACTTACGTCATCAATTCAACTGTTTCAAGAGCAATTTTCTAAGTTTAAAACATAATTGATGTTTACTCTTGGCTCCATGCTGCATACGTAACAGTGAAACTTTTACTAGATAAACAAAATGACGGGTTACTGGTCGTCTTCTGACCGGGCGGGGTTACAATTTTGCCAGATCATAGATCAATGTGTCTGTCTAAATGTCACGCATCGTTTAATGGAAGGCGTTTCTATTGTTGCCATAATAAAACCAGTCTCATTATTTAACTGTCAGACTGCGCAATAATATATTTGAAATAATAGCATGCACTTTAACAATTTAATTAACTGAGTTAGGAATCGACGCAATAGCCCTTGTGATATTCCCGTAAGCCCTCTGTCCTGATCTGCAGCAGCAGTCGAAGAGTTCCAGTTCCGATGCGCCGGAAGAAGTCTACTTATTTGTCCGTCTTGCCTTGCCCCTGAGTGTTGAGTGTCGACCATATCCTATGGTCACTCCCCGGAGCACTGTTCTCTTCTGCGTCTGCCCCCATTGTTTAAAAAAAAAAAACTATCTCAAATACATTGAAAAATTACTTCTTTTCTTGATTTTGGAGGATTGGGGGAGGGGGTGTGTGGACAATCCCCTTACTAATTTTCTAGGGGTGGGGCGGGCTCGAAGGGCCTAAACTTCAGTTGGGGCGCCCCTGGTCTTGGTGTATTGTGATATTTTTTAAATGTTCTCTATAATAACTGTTGAAGTTCTAAAATCCAATATGAAACTGGTCGCACAGAAGAAAGACATTAACGATTTCAACGCATAGTTGCGACAGGAGCTATCACCACCACCATTAGGAATCTGCTGGAGAAGACTGATTGTAACGGCTTTCGTTCATCTTGGACTTACACTGCACCTGCGGCATTAATACGTTTCGGTGACACATTCTTTTGTTGGCCAGGATCATATATTTTTTTTTTTTCAAATTTCGTAGGACATTGCACCGAAAGCTGAAATATTTTGGTTATATCAAGCGCCACGACAGATTGGAAAAATTATAGCAGAAGGCATGGTACCAGGAAGAAGGGGCAGGGGCCGACCGACACGAAGATGGGCACAGGATATAAGTGTCTCCTTGAGTATGAAAGTACACGAGGCGGGAGAACTGGCGAGAGACCGAGTTTCTTTCAGGCAGACCGTGATGAGAGCGACGTTCTGCAATGGACCTGCTACATAATGATGATGATGAGGAAGTTGCACAGCTCGCTAGTTGCGGCTAATTCCTCCGCACTCCCCCTCCCCATTCATCTGCAAGTGGTGCAACCCCATTCTGTCTCTACCAACCGAAAGCCTAACTTGAACATCTTCTTTCTTCTTCAAGTTCAATGGCTGCAGACTATGACGGAAAGTTCTGGTTGTTTGTCCACTGTCCTTCACTGTTCTGGTTTTATGGAACCTCATGCAAGACTCCTGCTGCACGTCCCCGTCGTGCGCCAATAATGTCTCAAATGAGCATTAACAGAGTTGGCAGGGGATCTCGGAGCTGGCGGCCCTCAGAGGTGTAGTGTCCTTTCTGGCTCTCACCAGCCTGCCCCCAAACGCATGGGTGAAAAGTCTATCAAAACTCATTCGGTACATGAGTAAAGTCTGCTTGGCAAATGTACCACTAAATGACAACTCTCGGTTAAAATTCTGGAGCGAATGGAAAACTGTGCTGCTGAGACTCAACCCTTGACCAAGAGATTTATCCGCAGCCAAGACGAGTAACATCTCTTGTGGGTGGTTTCTCGCAGTCAGATCCTACCTACGTAAAATCCTCTGTCAATCCTCAGCGTCGTCGTCACCGCACTGAGGTACACAACGACATCTTTCATCTGCTGGCTAGGTAAAAATGTCCAACAAAGTCAGATCCTACGGCACACAAGCAAGCTCAAATTCCGATCATCATAACTCGTACAGATTAGAAAAAAGTCCAAATGTCCGTATACACTGGCCCCAATCGCCCGAGTGTTGGGACCAAACAGATGAAGCATGCGACCCATACTGTCGTGCTAAGGGCACAGTTGAAACAACGTTAAAGATGTCTAACGTGCAATGAAGAAGAATGTACCTATGTGTGTGGTCACTAAGTCCAGAACCCACGGGCTGCTCCCCGCTGATCTCCGGAGGGCGCAACCCGTGTCGAGCGGGAAGCCTAATACGGTTGTGAGGTTAAGCAGTTATGTGCAGCACGTGACGATTCCTTGGGTGAGCCCAGAACCAGAGCGTTTGGTATCGGCTCTGCTTTTATGGAAGCCTCCTTGGATGTCGGGGAATGCCCATGATCTGCCCCTGCCTTCCCTTGAGGGTCAACCGTTCCACACAGGGCTGTCCCAATGGAGTACTTCGGGGGCAACACCTGTGAATAAAGGGACAAATAGGTCACCACACACATAAGGTCACATCTCGACCCACACAAAACAATGGCTACAGTCATCCTAGAAATAGGACTAACGTCTTCCCTCGAAGTCGGAGTACATCTGCCCGTGAGGCAAGGAACGGCAAAAGCCAGTAAAACGGCTGTACACGCAAAACTCAGGTCCTGGTAAAAAGCCAAAAGTTCAAGCGGACGATTAACCGGGACCTTCCACCAGAATTCACAGCCGGTGAACGAAGAAGAAGAATTAGGCTATACAAATCTGGGTTGTTTGTATGCATACTTTTGGTTCATCGCATCCCAAGCAGCTGCACTCGAATGAAACATCGCCATTTAGTCGCCTGTCACGTCCTGCTTATCAGGGAGCATTGGGTCAATCCCCCTCCTCCCTCAATGGAATCTCAGAACCCTCACAAGGTATTCAGAAAAAGAAAAAAAAAAAGAAGAAGCTGATGACCCTCAGTGGAAGGGAAGGACAGAACAGGCACCCATAAATGCAGAGCCGACGCTAATGTTCTGAGTCGGCTCCAGAAACCTTCACGTTCTGTTCAGGTCTCCTTACTCTTGCCCCCATGTATTGAGCCTACCATCAACTACGTTCTGAGCTTTAAGAAACCACAAAAAGGTGTTCGCACATCAGCAACGCTGAAAACCTCCTCACAAGGGGCGCTCCAAAATCATTACGTGATGCCTTTCACCTGGCAGGTGCGCTGCCATGACCAAAACACTAATTTTGTAGGCACATTTTTGTTCTTTATGACTGAGCCTCCCCAGTAACACGGGCTCACAGCTTCAGCAAAAACTGGGAGCGTTTCAGCCGCCCCCTCCCCCATTAAAAAGGAAAAACCTTGTGGGGGGGGGGGGAGCCGCAACCCAGCTGGGCCTAGTTTGAGTGCGCAGGGTCCGAAACTGCCAGGTCCGGCGTGAACGCCTCGGTTATTTAATACGGCAGTTTTTTTTTCTAAAACCAGAATCTTCTTTCATCTGACTCAGTGTCGTGAGCATCGAAGATCTTCAGCTTCGGTACACCGTTATTCTGGGGAGTACCAGGATAGCATTTATTTTAAAAGACCAAAAAGCATGTAAAAGGCGGCATTTTTTTTCCTCGTTGCTTTATCGAAAACATACAAATACTAAACATTAGAAGATATTTGTCATTTGTTAGTTTTTGTGTTGAAAAAAAAACGGTGGAGGGGGGTGCTTTCTCGACACAGTTTCTTTCCCAAAAAGCATGTTTTATAAACGATGGTTACATCCCCGTTGTGATTTCGCGTTACCGTGTAAGGCCAATGACCTAAAGTGTGTACTGCCCGAATGGTTCTTTATAAAGGTTGACTGTCCAGGATGATAAAAGTGGACCGTCCATGGCTCTACCACGGCCAGCTCCAGATTTATACTGGAGCTGGCCGTGGCTCTACCTTTACACCTCCCTCCCATCACCCTCTTTTCTCTTCCCGCTCTAGAACTCTGGAAACCTGCTCACGTGACCTTCTCATCCAACACATAACAGTTAATTCTAACGCGTAAATTAACAGAAATAAAATATATACAATATTATTAACAAATTTAGAAAATTTTGTGATAAAATACAAATTATTCAAAGTATTAATAAAATCTGAGCTAAGCCCGTGCGTGAGAGCGAGATCTCAAGCGCCCAGTTTTGGTTTGACCGGGGCCAGCCAGCTCGTCAATCGCGCGCTCTTTCTCTTTCAGTCACAAGCCTTCTCCAGTCCGCCGGTTCTATCGCTGCTTGTTCCGTGAGTATTCCTTTTTTTTAAAAGCATTTTCCTAATTACACACATTGGATTTTTCAACTAATTGTACATATTTACATCGAATACGCACGAATGTAATGAAGAGTAAGCAGTTTAACTTAATTTTAAACCCGTCTTCAGTTCCGCGTCCTTCGCCATAATTCTCTCCAGAGCGGAGCTCCTTCCTCTTGCAGACCCGTCTTATCTTTTCTATCGGCGTCATGTCATTGACAAATGAATACAAATTATTGGTTGTTGAGGCATTGTATAACACAAGACCCAAATGTTTTTTATGTTGATGTCGTGGAATTTAAAATGGAGCGGATATCTTTAAAGTTGAGCAAGTTAATGAAATGCAGGAGTGTAGTTTTGTACCGCCATGTTTCAGGTGCGAATACCGCCAAAACTGCTGCATGGCGTGCGGGCAGCGGCTGTCTCCGTCCAGCCAGCTTGTTTCTTCTCCCTGATGAAACTGTCTTGTACTGACTGTTTAAAATGTTTTGTTTGAAAATAGACCTGCTTTTAATGTAGAATTTCAGTAATCGCAAATTTTGTCATAATTCTTCATTTATGCCCCATTGATGACTATATTGGAAGTCATTTATTTTATTTGAACCCACAACTTGATTTATTAAATCAGTGGCTGTCACTGTTTCTCGGTTGTCCATTTATATGTTTTTCTTTTCTGGCTTTTTGTTTCATGATAATTTAATTAGCAATGTACATTAACCCTTTTAGTTTAGCACGGGAAGTTTTTCAGATGTCTAGCTAAAAACAGGAGCATTTTTTCAGTAAATTTGGTTATTACTTTATTTAATTTTAATTTTTTTGACACATTTCTGTTATTCTGACGGTTGACCCCCATGAAATAACATCTGTTTGAAGGATATAGATTAAAGTTCATGATTTTCACAGTATCGTTAAAATTAATTGGTGTATATGCAAATTATCTCATTTGCATATCTAAAAATAGAAAATTAGAATGTGAATTTTCAACTTCAATGCATGAAACATACAACTAAAAACAAAAATATATTTTATTTGAAATCTTTTTATTGACCCTTGGCCTTTTTACAAATGTGATCCTGCATCAGTATCAACAGAATTAGTGTCATCATTTGATTCAAATGTTTTATCAAGTTTAGGGGCAGAAACATACGAGTCATTTAGCGATTCAGGTCACTATCTAAAAAATTCAACACAAATGTTCACTTGGATACCAAACACTCGCCATGTGTAAAGCTAATACAGCAGTGAATATGAATGAATCACTGTCAGTGTTTCTAAGTAGGAGATTTCTTAGCGGTTCGTGGCGAAACGCGATCGGGCCGATGATCGGCCGTTCCGTGTTTTTGGCCAGACATCCGTCGGCCCGTCCGTGCTAAGAGGGTTTAATAATATTTTTTTTGTTTTCCATGTTTCCTCTCTATGGTGAAGTAATTTTGAGCGAAATTGAAAAAAAAAGAAGCAGGAATAAACGTAAAGTAGGAGCATAAAGTGTAAACAATTTCAGCTATCCTCCCAATAACGGGCACATAATTATTATGGCGGGCGCAAAAACCCCCTAACAGGGCCTCAGTCACATGTCAATTGCTCACTTCCGGCGACTTAATTTACGGGCCACCGCCGAGTGTGTCCTCTACGCCGCTCACGTGGTGGGCTAAACTAGAGGGCTGGGACTCGCGCGGAAGTCTGTAATTTATAGTATGTGACAGGCCCTGTTTTTGGCCGGCCATAATATGTGCCCATTATTCGGATAGCCATAGTTTGCATTATGAACCGTTATGCAGACGTTAATGTTTTGATAGCTGAAAATGCAACTGATTTACAACTACTGTTTATTGTAGGGATGGAAAGTGCTAAGAAATGACTTTTCTTTGAATACTAAGGAAATGTAAGTAATGGTTTTATCCATGAAAAAAACACCACATTGTGATATCTCAATTGAAGGAAAAAGGCTTAACCAAGTTAATAAATTCAAATATCTGGGAACAGTCATACTCATATCAGTTTGAAAAAAATGGCAGAATAGATCAGGCGAAGGCAGCATTATGAAAAATATCAGCTATCTTCCGAATAAAGGTCCCAAATTATTGAGGCCGAAAATATACCCTAACAGGGCCTCAGTCACATGTAAATTGCAGATTTCCGCCACCGCCGAGAGTATCCTACGCCGCTACGCGCTGTGTGGATTGAGGCTAAGCTAGATGGCTGGGACTTACGAGCAAATAAAATGAAGCTGCAGATGCGGTAGCTGCTGCTCGTGAGTCCCAGCCATCTTGTTTAGCCCCAACCTGCGTGTAGCGATGTGGGAGATACTCTCGGCGGTAGTCCCTGACAGTGCGCAATTCAAGTCGCCGGAAGTTCACAGTTGACATGTGACTGAGGCCCTGTTAGGGTATATTTTTGGCCTTGATAATTTGGGACCATTATTCGGAAGATAGCCAAAATATCTTATGCAAGGGATCTTACTAGGGATCAAGATCTGTGTAGATGCATTAATGCCTACGCCAACTGGCAGGGCACATGATGAGGATTTTAGCAAGTTCATTTGAAAATGGCAACACTGCTGAGAATAGAGCTGAGCAATTGTCCCATGTGGATTGTGAGCCTTCATGAGGGAGAAAAAAAAGACTGGACTCACTGGTTCCCCAACAAACACGCCATAATAGTCTAATTGGGAGCTTTTTTTTTCTTTAGATTACATCTGCCCAAGTGACAAGAAATGACCAACTGCATTCGTAACTTATGTAGTGTTCATTAGGCACTGTATCATTCATAACTTATGTAGTGTTTCATCTAGCACTGTATCATTCATAACTTATGTAGTGTTTCATCTAGCACTGTATCATTCGTAACTTATGTAGTGTTTCATCTAGTTACATTCTGTATCATCTAGCACTGTATCATTCGTAACTTATGTGTTTCATCTAGCACTGTATCATTCGTAACTTATGTAGTGTTTCATCTAGCACTGTATCATTCGTAACTTATGTAGTGTTTCATCTAGCACTGTATCATTCGTAACTTATGTAGTGTTTCATCTAGCACTGTATCATTCGTAACTTATGTAGTGTTTCATCTAGCACTGCATCATTCGTAACTTATGTAGTGTTTCATCTAGCACTGTATCATTCATAACTTATGTAGTGTTTCATCTAGCACTGTATCATTCATAACTTATGTAGTGTTTCATCTAGCACTGTATCATTCGTAACTTATGTAGTGTTTCATCTAGCACTGTATAATTCGTCAATTGTTGCGATCTTGTCAGTATTTGAAAAAGTCACAAAATGCCCAAAAGGAAGGCCGCCTCCGCTGCTGCTGCTGCCGCAGCACCTGAAGCTCCTGCTGATGCAGAGGCTGCAGCCGAGGTAAGTTACTTTGACATGCTTGTGGGTGTTCTGTGCGCTGTCTTTTGTTCCAGAATAGTTTACAGCAACAGCTTGGATCAAGAGTGATGGGAAAAAAATAGTTTAGGTAAAAAAAAAAATCTAAAACCTCTGGTAGGTTTGTCTGGGGCAGGTTAAAATGATTTATGTAACAACAGACTGGGACAGCTATGTGTGTGTTCTATCCTGGAAACTGCAACTAGCTGAGTGGAATGACCTGTCTATGGGTATATAGGAATCCAATGTACTGAATGTTTTTGGTCAGACCTCTACTGTCTGAGATGTGCATACATCCTGCAGTGCATCTCCCGGTAAATTAAATCACAACTCCGCCCTCCCTTATATTTTGTGTTGTATATTTATATTCTTATTGCATATTTAATTGCATTTATGATCATTTGCGCAAACAAAATTAAATGGTCAGGTGGTTACTGTTGCAGCCTCCCAGCTGTGGAGCTGATAATGTAGTTGAACAAATAATTCCTGATCTACAGATTATTAGCAAACGCCAAGTTAAAGGGTTTTTTATGAATATGCATGGTACTGTGATACTGATCACAGGTGTGAAAGCAAAGGCTGTTGTGTGCATAAGGAGTTTTTCTGTACCTCACCTCGGGCGCCAGCCAGCTAGCTCTTGGATGTTTTTATCATAAAGCGACTCTTGCCGCACGTCTATGTCGTGCGCCACGGATAAGGGCTTATCCTTGTAACCTGTAACCTGAACCAAGTTGGCAGGGAATCTCTGACTTGGTGGTATCTAGTGATGTGTCCAGTCTTTCAAAGCTCATTGGAAACATGGGCAAAGTCTGCTAGCAGAAAATATTACTAATTGACAATGCTTGTTTAAAATGTCTTATCGAGTGGCAAGAACTACTGCTGCGATTTAGCCCGATAACAAGAGATTTGCTTGCAGCTTAGACCAGCAATATATCTTGTGAGTGGTAACTCATTAGAACAGTCCTGGCTCCTTACTTCTCATGCTATTCCTTAATGTCATCAGCACGTTGTGGCTCAACCACAGCATGCCACTGTCAGTATGCGATATATATATATATATATATATATATATATATATATATATATATATATATATATATATATATATATATATATATATATATATATATATATATATATATATATATATATATATATATATATATATATATATATATATATATATATATAATGGTAATTGGCATGCACTGCTGTATTAATGTGCCCATATCACAAGGCCACTGAGCTCAGTAGCACAGGCGTTCTAATACTTGTGGACACCATGTCCGCAGGGACACAACTCCCACTGGATACTAGAGTACAGTCCAAGCCACTTGTTTTAGTGCAATTGACAGTTCTCAGCACCCAAAAATACACAATAATTATAGCCAAAACTGCTGGCACTAGGTTGATTGTGGATTATAAATATAGATATATATAATTGTATTGAGGGGCAATTTGTCTACACACGACGCTCTGGCCCTGATACTCCAGATACAACTGTAGATGAGACACAGAGAACACATAAATAAGACCACCAAATGTTTCTGTGCTGCAAACTATCTGGGAGGTTAACCTGGTCAACAAATGCTCAATGAAGTTGAATGTGTTGACTGAAAGGTGCAAATATCCTAGCTGCTCTGTAAACAGGCACAACACATTTATGTCACTCAAATGAGAAGATACCAAAGCTTGTTGGATGTGAACATGTGCTGCTACATGATGAAACATGCTAGGCTTTTAGTCTATGCAGTTGAAATAAATGTGATGACGTCCACTTAAGCTGTGTTTATTCTGTTTTTGTTTGAGCAGCCAGCAACCAATGCTGCCCCAGAAGCTTCACCAAAGAAAGGCAAAGAGTCACCAAAGGTAAATCTCATTCTGTGTGAACTACGTCCAACTGTTTGTGAATGCACATTACTTCTGTAAGATACTTCTGTGTGAACCACGTCCAACTGTTTGTGAATGCACATTACTTCTGTAAGATACTTCTGTGTGAACCACGTCCAACTGTTTTGTGAATGCACATTACTTCTGTAAGATACTTCTGTGTGAAACCACGTCCAACTGTTTGTGAATGCACATTACTTCTGTAAGATACTTCTGTGTGAACCACGTCCAACTGTTTGTGAATGCACATTACTTCTGTAAGATACTTCTGTGTGAACCACGTCCAACTGTTTGTGAATGCACATTACTTCTGTAAGATACTTCTGTGTGAACCACGTCCAACTGTTTGTGAATGCACATTACTTCTGTAAGATACTTCTGTGTGAACCACGTCCAACTGTTTGTGAATGCACATTACTTCTGTAAGATACTTCTGTGTGAACCACGTCCAACTGTTTGTGAATGCACATTACTTCTCTAAGATACTTCTGTGTGAACCACGTCCAACTGTTTGTGAATGCACATTACTTCTCTAAGATACTTCTGTGTGAACCACGTCCAACTGTTTGTGAATGCACATTACTTCTGTAAGATACTTCTGTGTGAACCACGTCCAACTGTTTGTGAATGCACATTACTTCTGTAAGATACTTCTGTGTGAACCACGTCCAACTGTTTGTGAATGCACATTACTTCTCTAAGATCATTTAATACTTGACATTTGTATGGTGATATCCCAGTGTGGGTTCCGGGGCCCTATTATAGGGAAAACAAGAATAGACCCACTGCCTCCCCAAAAGCATATCGTGAGAGTCGACTAACTGGGGAGCTTCCTTTGAAGTCGAAGTGCATCTGCCTGAGAGGCAAGGAACCAGCAGTCTGCATTCAATTGAATCATCTGTAAAACTGATGCACATGCAACACTCAGGTTCTGGAGCAGGACTGCAGTCCAGAAGTGGACGAACAACCAGAACTTTACGCCAAAGTGTACAGCTGGTGAACGCGAACGAAGTAGTGTGGTGATAGGTGGCCATCAGTTTTGTGTGTGTATATGTGGGACATCCCTGTGGGCACTGTATCCTCATTTTTAGCAGCCAGCACAGTTTGTGTTGTTGATCACTGCCTTCTCCACGATTCAGCACAGACTAAAGATCTCTTTGTGCTTATGCAGATGTTTCAGACTAATCAGGCTAGTTGTTGTGCTAGTACATGACAGTATGTGATGGAGGGATATGCAAAATATTGACCTTTAGGTCAACTTTTATAGTCAAATGTGGCTGCTGCATGGTGTGCCAACATCAGCCCTTGGTAGTGAAGACACTTCAAGTAGTTAGCAGTGGTACAGAATGGTGCCCCTGTGTAGCACTGACACAGCTGTTAACCCAGGGACAGGAAAGAGAATCAGCACTCGAGGGAAATACTAGTCTGACCATAAACAATCACTGGTCACATTCACTGTTGTTGTAAATAAGAATTACTCTTTCCATCAATGTCTGTGTTAAAAGCTCAGCTGCACAAGTCTCTGACCCTGGCTGAGCTGCAACTTGACAGGTCGTTTACCTCACATTTTGTCTCATGTTTATCCACATCTGTTTGCTTACTCTGCTAGCTGTTTGTATGACTGAAAGGCTTTGTCTGACTTTGAACTCAATACTTCTCTTCCGTCAACTTTTTTGAATAAATTAAATTTCTTGTTTGTCTAGTTTTAAGATGAAATAATTTGAAAACAGCCAATATTTTATTTGTTAACCATTGTTTAAGTTTTCATTCAATATTTACTTGACAGGAAAAACCCAAGCAGGATGCAGAGAAAGCCACAAAAGCAGGCCGTGGTCGTGGCAGGCCAAAGGGCACTACAGGCACAGTAAGTTTTAACCATCAGCACAGTTGTCTTGAATCCCTTTTTCTGTGGGGGGTGGGGGGTCCATTACCCTCCTTAACAAGTATGCTGTAAAAGTCGGCTAGTTAGGGATTTTTCCTTTAAAGTCACAGTGCCTCTGCTTGAGAGGCAAGGTACCAACAGACTATACAAATAAGCCAGATTGTAACACAGGCAAAGAATAGACCCACTGTCCCTCAAAAGATACATTGGGCCAGAATGTACAGATATCACAGCCTTGCTTTAAACACACCGCAGCACAGCTTGCCCTTTTAACAGAATAAAATACTAGAAGAGAGGTTTATAGACACAATGGCTAGCCCTGATCCTAATGACAGCATTAACCATTTAACAAGAAGGGACCAGGCCACCATCTTCAGACTCAGAACACAACATACTCCACTCAATGAACACCTAAATAGAATACAGCCACAACACCCCTCAGAGTGCCAGCTATAACTACCCCTACAAAACTGTTTACCATCATCTCTTTGAGTGCCAACACTCAATGAGACAAGAAGAACGCTACTCCCTCCGAGACCAGACAGGTGGAACACCTTGTACGGAGGAAAAGAACAGCTTGTGAAAACATGTAAATTCCACTACATGGCATTGGTGGGCCAAAGGGCGAAAGCTCATGCACCGCTGGATCAATAACAGAATAAAATAAAATGGTCCAGTATGTTGGGATATCCAGGAAGTGGACATTTAACCATAAAATGATTTTGACGACAGTCCTAACTTGCTCATTTTTTAAGTATCACTGCAGTTTGTCAATTGTGGGGGGGGGGGGGGGGGGGGGGGGGGGGTCGTGTAACCATGGGTAAATACCTTTAACATCTTGAATGACTTTGTAATTGTTGCTTGTCTTTCTTATGTTGGGTGGGAACGGAATTGAATTGTTTTCTACCTAGTTTATTTGTGCTGTACTGAAGAGCTCGTGCTGTGTGTTTTATCTTGCTAGATTTGCCTTTAGGAAATCACAAATCTTTGCGCTATACTTTTAGGAAAGGTTAGTCGCTTATCCTTTACAGGACGTTGCAGAACCAACTCCAACAGCCCCTGGCTGTTGTGTGGTTTTTCTAGGCAAATTTACGTCCAGTAGGATTGTCATTTCTTTCTGTACTTTCTGGCTTCTTAATACCACTATCGAAACCAAGGCAATGCCAGAATTATTCTCTCTGTAAGATTGTATCTGCTTACAGCATATGTGACCCAGGTCATGGTCAGAATTATTCTCTCTGTAAGATTGTATCTGCTTACAGCATATATGTGACCCAGGTCATGGTCAGAATTATTCTCTCTGTAAGATTGTATCTGCTTACAGCATATATGTGACCCAGGTCATGGTCAGAATTATTCTCTCTGTAAGATTGTATCTGCTTGCAGCATATATGTGACCCAGGTCATGGTCAGAAATATTCTCTCTGTAAGATTGTATCTGCTTACAGCATATATGTGACCCAGGTCATGGTCAGAATTATTCTCTCTGTAAGATTGTATCTGCTTACAGCATATATGTGACCCAGGTCATGGTCAGAATTATTCTCTCTGTAAGATTGTATCTGCTTACAGCATATATGTGACCCAGGTCATGGTCAGAATTATTCTCTCTGTAAGATTGTATCTGCTTACAGCATATATGTGACCCAGGTCATGGTCAGAATTATTCTCTCTGTAAGATTGTATCTGCTTGCAGCATATATGTGACCCAGGTCATGGTCAGAATTATTCTCTCTGTAAGATTGTATCTGCTTACAGCATATATGTGACCCAGGTCATGGTCAGAATTATTCTCTCTGTAAGATTGTATCTGCTTACAGCATATATGTGACCCAGGTCATGGTCAGAATTATTCTCTCTGTAAGATTGTATCTGCTTACAGCATATATGTGACCCAGGTCATGGTCAGAATTATTCTCTCTGTAAGACTGTATCTGCTTACAGCATATATGTGACCCAGGTCATGGTCAGAATTATTCTCTCTGTAAGATTGTATCTGCTTGCAGCATATATGTGACCCAGGTCATGGTCAGAATTATTCTCTCTGTAAGATTGTATCTGCTTGCAGCATATATGTGACCCAGGTCATGGTCAGAATTATTCTCTCTGTAAGATTGTATCTGCTTGCAGCATATATGTGACCCAGGTCATGGTCAGAATTATTCTCTCTGTAAGATTGTATCTGCTTACAGCATATATGTGACCCATGTCATGGTCAGAATTATTCTCTCTGTAAGATTGTATCTGCTTGCATCATATATGTGACCCAGGTCATGGTCAGAATTATTCTCTCTGTAAGATTGTATCTGCTTGCAGCATATATGTGACCCAGGTCATGGTCAGAATTATTCTCTCTGTAAGATTGTATCTGCTTACAGCATATATGTGACCCAGGTCATGGTCAGAATTATTCTCTCTGTAAGATTGTATCTGCTTGCAGCATATATGTGACCCAGGTCATGGTCAGAATTATTCTCTCTGTAAGATTGTATCTGCTTACAGCATATGTATATAAACTACTGTGTAAACACTTTTTCTTTGCCATGTCACCAGCCGTAACTCTGGTGAAAAGTTCTGGTTGTTCATCCATCTGTGGAATTTAGTCTTGTTCCAAAACCTGAGTTGTGTGCACATATGTTTTACATATTTAATTTGTATGCAGATTGTTGGTTCTTTGTCTTTCAGGCAGATGTACAGAAATTTAAAGGAAGCCAATAATCAAACTTCTATGACATGCTTGTTAGACCCCAGGTAGTGGGTCTGTTCTTGTTTTCACCTATAATGGGGCCCTGGAACCCACACGAAGAGTAAACATTGACATTATTTAGTTATTATGCCTTTCACTCATTTGTGATATTTTTTTTTTTCTTTGTAGAAAAAGAAAACCCAGAAGAAGAAATGAGTAATTAAGCTCTTCACCCTGGCAGCTTGGAGAACCCCTGAGGTTGCAACTGTGTCAGAGCAAGAAAGGACAAGATTGATCTTGTGTGTAGACAATGAACCTAGTGTGTTAGAGCATGGAGATAGCTTGTGTTTGTGGAGACAGCGCGGTCTAGCTAGCCAAACCTGAAGAGAATTCTCATCCAGCGAATGTCATTTTTCCAACAGTTTTATCTCCAAGTGTGAATATTTCATGTTAGTGTGGCTGTGGTAGAATCCTGGACGCCGGCCACACATAAGGGCATTAATTTTGTTGTGTTTGCACAAATATAGGGCACATCTTTATGTGAAGTAGACACTGAACATGTATAATTAATGAGCACTTGTGTTTGGCCATTGTCAGAATTCTATCGCAGCTAGGCATCTGAGAAATGCAACATGTTTAAGATCGTCAGTTATGAATCCATTTACATGTCTGTCAACACTGTACTGATATAGTACAGTAATGTATTCCTAACCCGACCATCCAATAGTAGACCTGAATCACACATAGCATCCAGTCTTCTTGTTTCTGCTCTGTCAACATTATTGCCATCCCCATCAAAGATATTTTTAACTTGAGATTTGTAATGGTTTTTTTTTTTTTTATCATTAAGGAAAAAATAATCATTTCTGTTTTGAGTCTCAAAATTTTCATCGTATGTAAATTGTTTTTTAATTTGTCGTGGCATGCTCGGTGTTCAAAGCTAATCTTTGGGTTGTTGCTTGTTTTTGTAGCATTTGCTTCTTGTAAAGAGGACGGTTGATATGCTTTTTTAAACCTTAGGGTGTGTACACGCACTGTCATTTTACTCATCTTTCATTTTGACTCAATTAAAGCCATTAAATTTGGACAGTTTTTCAGTTTGTGATTTATGGGTGAGATGCGAAAGCACTTAAAGGAAATAGCCCTGTTTCGGGACTTCAATAATGTATGTAGATGTTGAACTTTCTATCATAACACTGGCAATTTTGGTGGTGAAAGAGCCGTCGGCCGGCTAGATCGCTCTGCCAAAGCTTTCGATCAGGCCAACATGATCATTCTAACAGCCAGTGTGAGGGCTTTTCAGCTGAATGAGACAAAAATCAAGAATGATAAGTGAATGTGTTAGTTTTGAACATCTCCTAGTCAGAAAAGAAATTGGCGGTGAGATTCTGTATACTGTGGATTTATTACTAAGATGGGACACCTCCAGATGGGAAAAACGGTGTTGCAGGGATTGGACACGCTCAACACTAGGAAAAGGTGAGAAGGATGTACCATCTGACACTTATTGGTACCATCAGCATTAGAACTCTTCACTTGCTAAAGATGGAGACACAAAGTGCTATGTCTATTCTGAATTTAGCATTCACCCTCCAGATAAGCTGATAATCTGAACTGACTGGAAAGTTATGAGTAGAATTTCTGGCAGAAGACATCACTGCAGGTGGAACCCACCTTAAATGGATGCTGGGTACAAACGGAAAGCGGAGGCAATCAACACCAAATATTTGTAGACTGGTCTATTAAATATAGGTCTAGCCCAATATGCTAAAGGTGTGGAAAAGTGTCCTTTCGTGCAACTACACAACTGTTTAGAAATTGGCTGAAACTAGGTTTACTAACGTTGAGGTAATTTGTACCTATTGCCTACAACAGGGCTATTCAACTAGGTTTACGGAGGGGCCAAAATTTGTAAAATAGGGATCGTCACTAAACCTAAGCATAGAAAGATCTACAATACATTATATAGGTAAATAATCCGCAGGCCACTTGCTAGGCCTCAGAGGGCCAGATTTGGCCCACGGGACGCCAGTTGAATAGCCCTGGCCTACAGTATACCATCACCAGATTTGTGAAAATACTGTTCCCCATAAAGGTTTTAGGGCACAACAGAATAGAGCCACTGCTGCCTAGCAAGAATGCAACTGTCTGAAAAGCAAGGAACTAAGTTTTCCTGTAATCAAGCGCAAACATCAAGTTCTGCAACACGACTAAGGCCCAGAAGTCAATTGGAACTTTCCTCTGGATTCTACAGATTTATTAAGCATGGTAAGCAGAACAAATTGGCAGTGACATGAGTACCAATTGAAATGACCAAGTCAAATATTTGCTCTGATCTGAGAGCAAGAGGATGATAAAGAGAATAGTAATATTTCAGGATGGCCTGGAAAGGACATCAATGTAAACACTGATTTCTGTGAGATAACCTCCTATACTTGTCCGCCTGGTACACAACAGGGGCAAATCTTGCTTTTGGTAATTCCTATTCAGGTTTTGGGGGGGGGGGGGGGGGATTAGACCCACTGCCTCTCCCGCAAGCATGTCTTAAGATTCAACTAGCTTGGGGCTTTCTTCAGAGTTGGTGCACCAGCCTGAGATGCAGAGCAAAAGCCTGCATACAAATAATTCAGAGCTGTAAAATTAATAGCACACAGCATTTAGATACTGGATTAAGACTGAAAGGTCAGTGATGGACAACCAGAACCTTCTCTTGAGATTAGATCTGGTGTAGAAGAGTTGTCATTCTTCTTCTCGACCTTCAGTTGCTTCATTGAAATGGAGATAAAAGGATCCGATCGTAAACATGTTATTTCTAATGTGTTGTGTAAGTTGGTTGCCATTTGTTTAAGGCTGTTTGGAACTTTTTACGAGCCTGCCCGCAGGAACAACGTGAAAATAATCACGCAAGTGAGGGGTGACAAAAATTAAAACTATTGAAAATAGGGAATATGTCACAACCCTATTAAGTACAGTCAGTGTACCACACCGTAAGGTGTGCACCCAGGGTTGACACAGAGGTCAGGGCCGTCACTGGTCAAGTCCGTGGCTCGCTAACTAGGCCTATGACAGACAGACTAACCTACAACACACACTGAACCCGAACGCACACAGAGCACACACGACAATCTTTATTGGAAGTACAGGTAATACATAGACAGTTGACTTCCCGCCGTGTGGCCACCTATTGCCTGGACCCTCTGGCTGGACGGGCTTTACAATCGCCCCGTCCCCAGTACGTGCGACAGGCAATACTCTGGTGTACAAACCACAATCCGGCAGGATACGCTCTCTTCTATCGCCACGCTGACCCAATCAAACTGTCACAGTCTCTGTCCTAGTGCAGGGTCAGAGTGTCCAGGTTAGCCACTCTCTCACAGCACATATACATAAATACTCTACACAAGAACTATCCTATCCTAACACAAAACTGTACATCAACTATCCAGTCACTAACAGAAATATATCCTAACTTTAATACTATAACATAAACTATCCAGTCACTAAACGTCCTCTCTTCCTGACTGACGCACACCGAATGTCCCTTCTTCCTTCTACCTCGTGTCTCTTCACCCCGTTCACCAGCTCAGTCCCAGAAGCAGTCATCGTGTTACTAAAACACAGTTCAGGCTTTCTTGCTTTATCCTGAGCGCTGGTTTCGCCGTGCGATCACAGAACGGACTTGACCAGTGACGGCCCTGACCTCTGTGTCAACCCTGGGTGCACACCTTACGGTGTGGTACACTGACTGTACTTAATAGGGTTGTGACATTCACCCTTCCTCTGAACTGATACTTCCTGACAAAGTCAAGTATCAGCAAAGCATGGCCTGCCATCATGTACAGTCATGTTTTTAAATTTTATCGTCAATATTTAGTTACCTAAAAAAAAAAATATGTCATGTACTTTTGGGTCAATCACCTAAGGACAAACTATCTGGCACATATTTAATGGGTATATACATTCAATGGGTAAGCTCCTCCCTAATGGGTAGAAATGGTATCAGCCCTTGACACAAATACGTCACTACTCATTACACCTTCAAATCATATGGGTAATGATATAAATAATAATTTGGGTGGACACTCAAATCGTCCGGGACCCAATTACACCTTACTTCACTTACTGTGTAAGTAAGACGCCACTGTATACACTCCCAAGCCGTTTAACCAACGACACCGTGATTTATAACAGTGGGCGTCATGGACTATCTCCATAAGGCTTGTCCATGGTTGTGAAAAGGAGTCATGACCTGACTCCCATGGAGAGTTAATGATGGTGTAACTAGTATCGCATATATGGAGACTACATTTGAGGAGTAGCACTATCCTTGGAGGATGGGAGTGTGTCCAACTGGCCACAGATTTGTTTACTGCCTATTTTGCACTGTGGGTCATATGGGGTGATTTGTGTCTTGGCAGGTACTGCGGATTCGCGGACACATTATACGACTGTAGGTCGGGGAGTCAGGTCATGACTCCTTTTCACAACCATGGACAAGCCTTATGGAGATAGTCCATGACGCCCACTGTTATAAATCACGGTGTCGTTGGTTAAACGGCTTGGGAGTGTATACAGTGGCGTCTTACTTACACAGTAAGTGAAGTAAGGTGTAATTGGGTCCCGGAGATTGGGTGAAGAGACACGAGGTAGAAGGAAGAAGGGACATTCGGTGTGCGTCAGTCAGGAAGAGAGGACGTTTAGTGACTGGATAGTTTATGTTATAGTATTAAAGTTAGGATATATTTCTGTTAGTGACTGGATAGTTGATGTACAGTTTTGTGTTAGGATAGGATAGTTCTTGTGTAGAGTATTTATGTATATGTGCTGTGAGAGGTGGCTAACCTGGACACTCTGACCCTGCACTAGGACAGAGACTGTGACAGTTTGATTGGGTCAGCGTGGCGATAGAAGAGAGCGTATCCTGCCGGATTGTGGTTTGTACACCAGAGTATTGCCTGTCGCACGTACTGGGGACGGGGCGATTGTAAAGCCCGTCCAGCCAGAGGGTCCAGGCAATAGGTGGCCACACGGCGGGAAGTCAACTGTCTATGTATTACCTGTACTTCCAATAAAGATTGTCGTGTGTGCTCTGTGTGCGTTCGGGTTCAGTGTGTGTTGTAGGTTAGTCTGTCTGTCATAGGCCTAGTTAGCGAGCCACGGACCGGCAAGGTCATACCAGAGGTTTGTGACAGAATACATGACACCCCCACAACTTA